CCTGTCGCATCTGCACATGGATTCATGCCCTTCCCTGAGTTCTGGCCAGGAGACTTCACATTTGGTTGGAATTGTTACAAAGTTCAGCCGGAGTTTTCCTTCTCCCTGTGGTCTTTTCCCAGTTCCTCTGGCAGCCTCCCCAAGGACACCTGTGAGAAAAGTAAGAAATGGCTTCCCTGGGGACCCCAGAGAGCCCAGAGGGCTTTTCCCACTGCTTCCTCTACCCCTGTATTTCACTTGGCTCTCCAAGTTGACTCGGCTCCAGGTAAGGTCAAATCCTTCTCCCCTGATCTAGACCTTCGGTTCCCCAGTGAGGGTGTGTGTTCAGGGGCAGGTAATCCTACTTTTCCACTGTCACAGCTTGGACACTCACAGTATATGGGCTGTCTCCCAGATCCCACAGGAGCAATCCAATTCCATCAGAGGGTATGTGGACTCTCTTGGCTTTCCTGGTATATTCCTGCCATAGTCGTTTTGGAGCAAAAGTTGATGATCCGAGTCTCCACACCCTGCTCTGTCCATCCGAACTGGAACTGCAAGCTAGTTCTGCCTCCAATCCCATGTTCTTTTAATGTCTATTAGATTAATAGTATCCAGTCTTTTTTCTTTTCTAATGAATGCATTTAGGGCTATAAATTTTGTTCTAAGTACTACTGTAACAGCATTCCACAAGTGTGGATGTATGGCATTTTTATTATCATTCAGCTCATAATATAGTCTTATTTTTATTATGATTTCTTCTTTGGATCATGACTTATTTATAAATATGCTTTAAAACATCCAAATGTATAACTTCATTCAATTTTTTGACTTCAACAATATATAGTGGAGAGAGAACATGGCCTGCATGATCCCATTTTGTTAATATTTGTTGAATTGTATTTTATGACCTAATATGTGATTATTATAACTGTTGCATGTGTACTTGAAAATAATATGCATTATTAATTTTTAGGTATAACATTCTATGTGCCATTAGATATAAATTCTTAATTTGTATTTTAAAAATCCATACACTTACTTTGTTACACTGTAAGGGTAGACTTATAAATCTCTCCTTGTAATTCCGTCAAATTTTGCTTTATGTATTTTGAGGCCATATTTTTAGGGGTATATAAGTTTATAAATTTCTCCTAGTGAATTCTGGTTTTTTTTGCCATTTTATAATAATCCTTTTAGACATGACTAATGCTTTTTTACTTTAAGACCTTTTTTGTGTTTTAATGTAGTTAATAACTTTTCTTTTCATCAATCTTTGTCTGGCACATCTATTTCCCCACTTTTACTTTACACCTTTCTGTTTTCCATATTGTTGAAGAATTGGTCTTGTTAAAACCATAAAGTCATTTTTTTCTTTATTTAATCTATCAGTCTCTGGTTTTATTCAGCAAACTCAATTTGTTTACATTTCTTGTAGTTACTAACCCATTTGGAATTGTTTCTACCATCTTAATTTGTGCTTTCCATCTTTCTAGCTTTTACTGCTTTTCCTATCTTCTATAGCAGGGATTGGCAAATTATACCCTTCAGGCCAAATCCAGTTCATTTGCTGTTTTTATAAATTAAGTTGAATTGGAGTGCACCACCATACTCATTTGTTTAAATTTTCTCTATGGTTGGTTTTGCACTACAATAGCAGAGTTGAATAGATACAATAGAGATGATATGGCACACAAAATCAAAAATATGTACTATCCGGTCATTTACAGAAAACATTTGCTGCCTTGTTCAATAGGATTAGAGAGTTTCTTTTTTCATTTTTCCTTTACTGTTTTGAAAATTGCAAATTCTACTTTTACCATGCCCCACAACTCCCAGCAGTCATGACTAAAATTTTAACATGTGTACTCAGCATTCCAAGATCTCAAGTTAACTCAATTGTTCACGGGATCATTCAATGATTTTGGAATTCTAGATTATTATCCTCCCACCTTACATATAATTAGGGGACTTGGGTCATTCTCCTCCCGACTTACATGATACTTAATCCAGTATTTCAGGTCCTACATGTTTTTATACATGTGAAATGTCATTACTATTATTGTTGTCATCCATTGTCAATCTTGTTCTGATTTATCCATATGTTTACTAATTTATTCGCTCACCATTCTGCTTTCAGTTCACTTCTTCATTCTGGATTCAGTTTTCTCCTTGATAAAGTGCATTCCTGGAAGTTATTTAGGTGGGACTCTGTTAGTTATAAATTCCTTAGTGCTTTGTTTTTCGTCCTTTCTCCCTAATTCTTGTATGACAGTTTAGTTAGGTAGAAAATTATATTTTCTCTCAACACTTTGAAGATATAATTCCACTGACCTTTGGTCATCATTGACAAGTGGCAGCCAAATTAATTGTCATTCCTTCATAGGTCATCTTATATTTCTGGCTACTGTTAAGGTATTATCTTTGTACTTTGCAATCTTACATAGCCTACTCTAATCTATCCAGGGATGCATTTCCTTTTATCTATCCTAATATTTAGGACTACACTTTCCTTGAATCTGAGAACTCAGAACTGTTCTCAATTTTGAAAATTCTCGGTCACCATCTCTTTCAATATTGGCTCACTCTCATTCTCTCCTTTCTCTCCATCTTTAACTCCTATTGTGCTTCTATTAGACCTTCTTGTCCTATTCTCCATATTTATTAATCTTGCTTCCAAATTTTCTATCTCTTCATTTCCATGTGCTCACAGTGATTTTCCACTTAACGAATTCTCCTTTTAGTTATGTCTAATTTGCTTTTTAACCTAATCATTAAAGATTTAGTTACATTTCAATCACTATATTTTTTATTCCTATACATTTCCTTTTGTTCTTTTCAAATCTTCCCTGTCTTTTGTCTTCCCTTGGTGGCAGCTTGCTGTTTTCTCTTTTTTTAATTTTCCATTGTGTCTTTAATTCTATTTCACAATCTTTATTTTGATAATATTGTTGCCTGAAGCTCTTAGAAATTTAATCCCACTGTTTGTTATATCTTTGAACTTGCTCAGAGTTTATTTTTCTCCCTTGGATTGGCACTTTTGGATTGTGAGTTCATCTTCATTGCAGTTTTTCTGTAGGAATTATTTGTGTACATCCACAGAGATTTTGTGCTTTCTCCTGCCAGGTGCTCCAGGGTTAATTTTATCTAAATTGCTCAGATTGGGGGCTCCATGCCACTCAGATAGTATAAATTCACACCCCAAATACACCTGAGGACAGCCACTACATACAAATTCTCAAAGGCAACCATTTTCTCCTACTCAGAATCAGGCCAAGGTTGACAGGCTTTCTGTTATTTCCCTGTGCCAATGGCTGGATTGTTCTTCTAGTCCACCTTTTCACTGAAAGTGTAATTCTTCATGGGCAGGGGGCAACTCTTGTATAGGAATCTCAGTTCTAATTTCCAGCCTCTTATGGGCTCAAAGATTCATTTCCTATTTCTGCATGGCCATTAAAATCCAAAAATTCATTAGTTAAAAAGACTAATGTATAGTAATCTCAGTTCTAATTTCCAGCCTCTTATGGGCTCAAAGATTCATTTCCTATTTCTGTATGGCCATTAAAATCCAAAAATTTATTAGTTAAAAAGACATACAAGGTAACCTCAACTCCCACCTTTGCCATCCCATGCCTTCCCCCAGCATAGCCCTAGTATCAGTTATCTTATATTTCTGGCTTCTGTTCCCTCTTTGGTTTGGGCCTCTACAAGGGATTTCCCTTATCTTTTCATGAGCAATGTTTATTATACTTGCTGTATTTTAGCCAACATCCCTAGACATTTTATATCAAGATGTTTCTCAGGGTATCTGGTTCATCAGACTGCTGAAAACTGAGGTTTAAAATAAACATTTACAATAAACTATTTCATACATTATAAATCCAATGCTAATATCCAGCTTAACTCATCCCTAGTTTATTCATGAAAATGTGTGACTTTGGGAAAGGGCCTCTGGTATTGCAAGGAACATTTCTCATGCCATTCCCTGGCTCCTGTGCCCCAGTCTTGCCACTAAGCTTCTCTATAGTTTTAATTCCTGAAAAAGGGATGGGTGTACGGGAGAAATAATCTCTTTATGCCTGTCAGTGGTCATCTGAGATGCCAAAAATAACAATGAGGAAATAGAACAACCAGCGAGGTAGCAGTCTCTCAAATCTTTCATAGTTCTAGAATTTGCCCTTTGGAGCATTTTCAAAACACCAGAGAGGTTAGTGCCTGTGGAAGCACTCACTGTCTTCTAGCAAAAGTTCTTTCCAATATCTTGGTCAAAAAAATCATTTGTAAATCAGCCAATATTTTTACAGCTCAAAGAACGTTTTCATGCCACTTATCTTATGAAAGTTGAGTGTCTACCTCTTACAAATGAAAAAAAAAAAAAAAGAGAGAGACTGAGAAGATTAAGTAAGTTGCTTGCCCTGCTCAATGTTATGCAGTCAGCAGAACTAGAACTTTACTATTTTTAGCAGAAAACACTGTTCATAAATTCTTACAAGGGTAGGTGCCAGAATTTGCTCTCCTGCTGCTACGCTGTCCCAGACACTACCTATAGGAGCTTAAGCAACATTAAAAGTTAAATTAAACAGCTCTTAAAATGGTAGTTGTGCAGTTTCTGAGTGATGCTAGCCAAGGGTAGATTCCCCAGAGCTTGGAAGTAAACCAGAAAAGAGCGATGAGATGTCCAGGCATCGGAAAGTGGGTCCTAGAAGGTGCGGCCTGGAGAAACTGGAGCAACGTGCTGGAGTCCAGCACTGTCTGTGGCTGGCTCCTGTGTCAAAGGCTGCTAGGGGTGCAGCAAGACGTGTCTTGCTGCTGCCAGGGACATGGAGAGCCCGTGACTCACCCTGCCTTTCATCTGTATTTGTTCTCTTGGCAAGAGTGATTTTCATTGTACCATAAACTCAGTGTTACCAAACCCACTTGGAGTGATGCACTGACTGAAATTGCCCCTCAAGGAGGAAGGGTTAACACCGCCTTGCAAACAGAGGCTTTGCTATGTGAGTCTTGGCTTCCTGGCTTTCCCCATGAAGAACTTCCTGTCAGCCCACAGACAGGAAGTGAGCTGCGGGAAAGCGCTGGCTGCCAGCCTCCTCGTTCCACACTGGACCAGGGGCAGGGGTTCCTCTCAGAGACCAACCAGAGCAAAGCGGCTCGCAGGGCAAGGCCTGAGAGAGGAGCAGAAGCCCAGAAGCAGAAGTCAGACCACGGACGGGCAGGGACAGGTGAGCTGGGGATAGAACCACAGATCTGCAGCCTGAGGGGCAGGAACCGTGTGGGCCTGATCCAGGAGGGTCCATAGAACCGGCGCTGTGGTTGCTGCCTGGTTTTCCTTGGAGGTTAGGGCACGATGCAAGAGCAGTGAGTCTGAGTATAACACGTTAGGAATGGGCAGGCAGCCCCGAGATTGTAGCATGGAGTGGCCAGAATACGCCTGTGCAGCCCTTCTCCAGGGTAGGGCAGTACACAGCCTCCTCTCCACTGAACGGGACTCCTCCTTATTCCTTTGTACACTAATTCACCTGTCTTCCCACCCTCCATGGGGTAAGTGCTGAGGGTGCTATGCTACCCGGAGTGGGGCACGGTGCTGGGTGCTGGGTGCTGGGGGCAGGTGTGAGCTGGGCTCTGTCCTGGGGCCTAAGCTAGGATGAGCCACTGTCCCATTTGAGAGTCTCCAGCCCCATCATGTTCAATCCCAGCTCAGCGGATTTTCACACCCAAATCACCGCCTCCTGCCCCCAAATCTGGAACTACCAATAAAAAAAAAAAAAAGAAAGAAAGAAAACGGTCTGTGAGATGGACATGGCACTGAGGAGGGGGAAGTAAATGAGGAACCACGCAGGGGACCAGGCAGGCGCCAGGCCCACCTGGCATCGCCACCCAGGGACCGCTTTAACCACGGGAGCCTCCAGCGTGGGGGGAGCGTTCATTCTCTGAGGTCATCATGAGGCTCAAAGGGAAGTGACCATACAGTGTTCTCAAGGGTGTACATTTCTAAAGTCATCTCAAGAGAAAGCCAGGCAGAAGGTGAGAGGAAGAAAAAGGCGGTGCCGGCCGCGAGGGATGTGGATACCCCGAGCGGCACCAACAGCGGCGCGGACAAGAAGCGCTTTGAAGTGAAAAAGTGGAATGCAATAGCCCTCTGGGCCTGGGATATTGTGGTTGATAACTGTGCCATCTGCAGGAACCACATTATAGATCTTTGTATAGAATGTCAAGCTAACCAGGCGTCCGCTACTTCAGAAGAATGTACCGTCGCATGGGGAGTCTGTAATCAAGCTTTTCATTCCACTGCATCTCTCGCTGGCTCAACACAGGACGGGTGTGTCCATTGGACAACAGAGAGTGGGAATTCCAACAGTATGGGCACTAGGAAAAGACTTCTTCCATCAAGCTTAATTGTTTTGTTATTCATTTAATGACCTTCCCTGCTGTTACCTAATGACAGATTAGATGGATCCGTGTTTTTTCTGCTTTGTTTTTTCAGTTTGCTGTTTCTGTAGCCATATTGTATTCTGTGTCAAATAAAGTCCAGTTGGAGTCTAAAAAAAAAAAAGAAAAAGAAAGAAAGAAAAAGGTGGTGCCCACGCCTGCCGATGGACTTGGGGAAACGTGGACCTACCGCGGTATCCCAAGGACCCCGAGTTCCATGTTCCCCAGCAAGGCCTGGGTGACACCTCTCTTTGGGCCAAGGTGAGACCACCATGGTGGGACCACTCCCGCAGCCCCCGGGACAGGCCTGGACGCCCCAGCAAGGAGTCCCCACCCCACCCACGTCCCGCCACCTCCTCCCGGCTTCCCAGCGCCCTCCCCAGCATCTGGCGGCCTGCGGAGCTCCCACTCCAAGGAGGTCTCCTCCACGGACTCCAGGCAGAGGAGGACGTTGTCCTGCGCGCATTGCTCCCTTCAACGTCCCTCGCCCGGGAGGCTGCGCCACATTCTTGGCAGGCGGGGCCTGTCTCATCCTGCTTTGCTGTACATGTGGACCCCATTTACAGGGGGCACCGCACTGGGGTGGGGGAGATCCAGAGGGGTGGCTGTGGGACTGGCCTTAAACACTTCCACCTGAGAATGTGGAGGGAACACCCCCCAACGCGATGAAAGGGACCAGAGAGCAGGACGCTGAGCACCAGGAAAAGAGGAGCAGAGAAGCCCCCGGTGTGAGAGCGCAGGAGGGGGCCCTGCGGAGGCCGTCAGCCCCCCTGCTGAGCCTCGAGACCCCCAGCAGGAGGCAGGTGGGGGACAGCGGGGACAGAAGAGTAGTGGGGTACAAGGCCAGCCCACTGCACGTTCTTGCCACTCAGGGCTGGCAGATGCCAGGCTACCCCAAGAAGGCCGACCCCCAGGCTCTCATCGCGGGTGCTGCCTCAGCATCCATGGCAGCCCATCGCTACAGCATTGGTGGGGACATCCGCAGGCTCTGCGGGCCCGGAGCCCTGCCTTGCAGCTGGCCAGGCACCCCCACAAGGCGCCAGAGACCATCCGGTCCAGCCATCACTTCCCACACAAACAAACTGAAATGCAGGTGGGTAGTTAGGCATCAACTAGCTTGGGTTAGTATCCGTGGCCTCCGGCAGCTCTTCCTTTCCCAATCTGAGGGGCTCCTGTGAGGGCTCTGAACAGCCCAGAGTCTTATTGCTTGTATTTGAAAACAAAGGCACAAAGCCTCAGGGAGGGCAAAGCCCTCCCCGCTCTGGCCGTGCCTGGTGCCTGCAATCTGGCCTCACTGCTCCAAGGCCACCAGCTCCTGAATAACCCCTTTTCTCCGGCAGCAAGGACTTCAGGACTCCCGGGCAGATCCACAGGGGGCAGACCCAGGCGGGGCAGCACCCCCTGCAGATCCAAGCCTCACGCAGTCTCTTCCACACCTGGGCCCCTGAGGCTCCCCCACGGGCTGCTGCATTTCCTATTTCCTCCAAGACAAAGTGGACCCATTCACCTTTTTCCGTCATGTCCCTCTCTCCCTTCTCCTCCCTGGTTCCACTAAAAGTGTGAGCTTCCAATGCTTCCTGGGTTTGAAAAGTTTCCAATCCTATCAGTACACAAAGACAGTTCATTTTGGTGTTTGGGCTCTTGTGAAGGGACCCATCACTAGACAAAATTAGACAAACAGGTGACGTCATGGGGAATTCCTCACTCACACATGCGCCATGGTCTGTCTCCTGGTCTTTGTCATTCACACGTTCTAGATGAGCATTTATTTACTATGGCCATAATCTGTGTTGGGCACCATGGGCCCAGAGATACCTGAGGCACAGACCCTGTCTCCAAACACAGGAAAACACAGAGACCGTGAGAAAGAATTGCAGCTTTCACGGCAGAGTACATGGCATGCCTGTGTGGGGGTAGGCAGGGGCCTCTGAGCCAGGACAGGGTAGAGGGGACAGTGGAGGGTCAGGAACACCTTCCAGAGGGGCTCACAGGGAAGGATAGGGAGGGAATGACCAGGGAAGAAACGGAAAGGAACAAGGCCAACTCCAAAGGGCAGAGCCCCTGGACACAGCGGGGCACAGGAGGCAGACAGGCAGAGCCAGGGATGGGGGATCCCACGGGGAAGTGAGGCGGGCACGGGGTTCAAGCACAGCCATGGTAGAATGTGCTGTGCATTGTTTCAAGGTCCTCTCAGTGGCTGTGTGAGGAATGGACAGACTCAGAGTGAGAGGGTGACCCAGAGACTCAAGAAAACCGGCAACAGGAGAACAACCTGTGGCACTTAAGATGCCCAGAGCCGTCCTGCCTGCTTCGCAAACATGAGCCCATGAAATGCTTGTCACCACGCAGTGGGGTGAGCACTGACATTGCCCCGATTTACAGAAAAGGCAACTGAGACACAGAGGAGTCGGCCTGCCGAGGTCTGGGAGTGACCCCGAAAATAGAGCAGGGCCTGAAACTAGGCAGTGGTGAGGGGGTAGGAAGAGGAATTTGGTCCAGAAACACTTAGGGTTCGGTGCCCAACCAGGAGCAGGAATCTGGGAGAGGTCTGGGGTGACCCCCAGGTCCCTGGCTGGGGTAACTGGAGGCGCTCAGGGCTGCAGGGAGGGGAGTCTATTTAAAGGGGAATGGAGGGGGCCCACTGGGGGCAGGACAATTTGGGAACATTAGTGGGATGTTGGGGGAAGATTAGATGTATAAGTCATGGACACCCAGGTCGGTCCCAAAGGACAAATGTGTGGGGTGAGGAGAGAGCTAAGAAACCAGAGGAGACCCCACGTCACTGAGTCCTCCTGCCTGGTGGCCTTGGGACAACCTGCCCTAGAATTCCTGATTCCCAGTTGAGGGGAGAGAGGTCTGGGGAGAGGCAGAGCTCTTAGAGCCGGGAGGACATTCTTGCTTCAAGGCTCAAGTAGGGGGATGAGAAGGAGGCCCCTTGGCGGAGAAAGTTCACGCAGTGAGGAGCGCCCAGAGTGGCTTATGCGGGAAAGAGGAAGTTCAAGAGCACCATAAAAAGTTAGAATTTCAGAGAGGAAGAGAACCTCTTAGCACTTCCAATAGGTGATTTTCTCTTATAAAAAAAAAAAAGAAAGAAAGAAAGAAAGAAAAAAAAAAGAAAAAGGAAAGAAAGAAAAAGTTTAAGAAGCAAGAAACTTCACAAAGGGAAAAAGTAATGTTCAACCTCTGGGCAAATTCTAGCGGAAAAAGGGAGAGAGAGAGGTGGGTGGGAGGCTAACACAATTTATGGGCCCTCAGAGCTGCACCAGCTTGAGAAGGTGGCGGAGCCTCTTGGCCCGGGGCCTGCTGCTGACTTGAGCTTTGAAAAACAACTTCCTGTCAATAAATGTGAACAAAAGTTTGGACCCATCTTCAAAGTGATGAGTTATGCTGAAAGTATGTTCCTGCGAACGGGGGAATGGCTTGTTCCTAGCGCTCTGGCATTCAGAAGAGTTTATAAATAACCACTCAGCTCTGCCTGGGTTATGCCCGCCATGGGAGTGCACAGTGCCAGCGAGCAGAGGGAGACGTGGGGAGCGGGGCCATGTGTGCGGGGGCCGTGCTCCCTGGTAGGGCTGGCGCAAAGTGCCTGGAGAAGCGCGAGTCACGTCTTGGCGTGGGAGTAGGGGGCTTCCCCAAGCCTCTGTTCAGGGCTGGGTAACAGGGGACCCCCTGGACCAGCTCTTCCATTTGCATTTTGGAGGGATAAAAGGAAGGAATGGATTCTACATGTGGTTTCCATCGGCCCAGAAAAGTAAAAACATGTGCCAGTGTTTCTAGCAGACATGGTCCTTGTTATTTTAATGAGAAAGACCATAATTAGGGACAACAGTGAAAAAGAAGCCATGGGTCCCCTTTGTGCCCTCCCCTCACCCGATGGGGAGCAGTCGCCCCGATGCACGGTCTTCCCACCCTTTAACCTGCTCCACCAGCACGGGGGGAAGGGAGAAAGCTGGGGACAGGCAAGTCCTCCAACCCCAACAGTTCCTTTCTCAGTGCTGAAGGTGCCGCCCAAGCAGTTCATTTGTCAGCGTTTAAACATCATTACGACGTTAACAGCCTCTCCGATGCCAGAGCGTTGGCTTTGCACGCCTATAAATTAGAGTACATCAAACCGGAGTTTATTGAGTCTTGGCCAATCAGAAGTAAAACTTCCATAACTTTTTACAATTCTCTGCATTCTTCCAATTATATTAAAATGTTTATTTGCACCCTGCATGATATATATAAACGTTTTATTAAGAACTTTTGAAACCCGGTTCTTTAAACAGAAGAAAGATCCACTCCACGCTGGCAGAGGCCCGGCCAGGATGTGCTGTGTCCAGTTGATTTCATGGAGGGAAACAACTCTGATTGGATTTGCAAGGGATTAGCAAGAAGGAGCAGCAGAGCACGAAGCCGCCTCCGAATTCATGGCTGCTCCTCCCTTAGCAAATCCCCTGCATTTGGTCGTGACACCAATGAGGAGCAGGTCCCTGTTTTGTCTCTGCCTGGGCTGGCCTGTCTGGAACAGTCTTCCAGGGTCACAGTGCATGTCCTGCCTCTGGGCAGCTGCCTGAAACAGGCCCCCACAACAGCAGGGAAGATGCACAGAGATGTTCCGTGATGACTGAGTGAAGAAGCAGGCAGTCGGGGCGAGCTGGGTTAAAACCCAAAGGCCCTTCTGCCTGCCGTTTCCTGGCTGTGTGCTGTGGGGCCTGGACTCCCCCACTCTGAATCTCAGTTTCCTGTCTCTAAAGTGGGCGTCACAGTGACAGCCGCCACCATTCCTCCACTACCACAAGAATCACCGGTGGTGATCTGCCTCATGTTCCCAAAACATCTCCGTGCGGCCACGTCCTCCTTTGAGCCTCGTCTCATCCCATCATTACCTCCTCCTGAAGGTCCTTCTGCTGCGGACACATCAGGTGCATGGGGACATCTGTAACACGTGGCCAACCAGGAGGACACTGAGGCCTACCTGAGGCCCTATCTGTGGGTGTGATCAGAATGCCACCAAGAACAGCTCTTGTGCTTACAGGGTTCTAAGTCCTGACCATCTCGGGAAATCCTCGACACTGCCCTACGAGGTAGGGACTCTCACTGCAGATGAGGGAGGAATGTCTCGG